CCCCAGCCAATCCTGGGCCTCTCCCTGCCTTCCTTTCCCAGGAGTAGCAACTTTTTGTTGGGTATGAATTCTTCCCAGCAAAGGATGCATTTATATGCATATACAAGGGTACTTCAAAGAGATCACGGAAAAATTGAATTAAAAAATAATACGAATCCTTCCATGAACTTTTTGAAGATCCTTCATATATGTGTCAATAGAAAACATCTAGCACTGTTTGTGGTTTATTTATTTTCCTTATTTTAACTTCAGAAATACTATTGGGGTTAATACTGTAGCTGGCCCAAATCACCTAAAAACACGACAACCAAAGTCTGAGATGATATTCTAGAGCGGTTTTCCTATGTCCCTTGGAGGCATTTTAAGCCACTCTCTTTCTCTTAGGTCTCAGCTTAAACAGAAATGTATTTTGGGGTGGTTGTTTAGAATGGTGAGGGTGGGGTTCCACCAGCTGAGAAGCATTTACAGTCAAGGCTGACCTTACATTTCTCATTTCAACCTCTGTCTCTAGGACGAACCTGCTCAGTTATAGGCTCAATTCAAAACTACCAGGCAGGGGCCGGCCCGTGGCTCACTTGGGAGAGTGTGGTGCTGATAACACCAAGGCCACGGGTTCGGATCCCTATATAGGGATGGCCGGTTAGCTCACCTGGGAGAGCGTGGTGCTGACAACACCAAGTCAAGGGTTAAGATCCCCTTACCAGTCATCTTAAAAAAACAAAACAAACAAACAAAAAACTACCAGGCAAACACTGGTGGCCCTTGTGTCCCAGTGTGATCCTTAATGGCCATCTTGTCCCTGACTTCATCTATCCCTCGAAAACCAACTATTTCTTTAGCAAGGAGCTTTAAAACATTTCTCACAGAATAGCTGACTCACCCTTGATTTAAAGAACAATGGACAGGTGTGACATTTTCAGAAACAAACCTTCGGCATATACCTGACCTACCTCCAGGAGACAGGATAAATCTCCTTTGACAGTGGACCACAATGCCAGCATGTGTATGGTGATATCTTGCCCAAAGAGTAATCCCCTGGCTTAGATTCTGATGAAACCATCAAGAGCAGGCTGGCCAATTAGTTCAGTTGGTTCGAGTGTAGCCTTATAACACCAAAGTCACAGGTTCCGATCCCCCTGCTGGCCAGACACCCCCCAAAAGACAATAAATGATAAAACCATCAGAAGCAGATTTTCCAAGGTGGCTTTGATGATAGGTAAATGCTCCTTTCTCAAGTAGGTTTGTCCTCCAAACTCAGAGCTTCCGTGTAGAAAGTGTACACATTTTGCATTTCTGCAGTGGAGGCGTTAGTAGTGACCAGTGGTAATGTCCCCTCCTGCCTTGCTCAGGTCATCTGACATTGTGCTCCCCTGACATCAATGTCAGTGGCCCTGACATTTCATAACAGCACAGACCCTTCACTGTCTGGCCTTTTGTGATGCTGAGTTTGGCTCCCTACTTGTTGAGGGTGGACAGGAAACCTCACCAGTTCATAAGTCCTTGGCCAGAGTATGCCCACCAACAGGTGTTACACTTGCCACCTCCTTGGAAAGCCTGTACCAACCCACCCGCATTTTGGCTCAGTGGATTCTCGACGTTCCTGGCTATTCAGGTGAGACCGTCCCACACCTATGAGAGCGTGGGACTGGGTTATGGAGCTCTGCCCAGCAGGGCCACAGCCTTTGGGCCATGAACCCGTGTATGGAGCTGCAGCTGGCCCTTCTCTTTGTACTCTGTATGAGCACACATGCTAGTTTCCTTTTGTTGGGAAGTCTTCAAGTAGATCCAGTTCCCAAGGTTCACCCAAGGGGAGAGACGTGCTTTGGGTACAGGGGTTTGAGCGAGTCGTGGAACTAGGTCCAGGGTCACTGAGTACAGGTGACTTCAGAGAACGGAAATACCCCAAACTTTCCTTTCGTGCGCTACCCCCAAAGCAGGAGGCCCACGATGGGTAGTTTGTGATATGCTCGGGCTGCTAAGGGGTGGGGGCTCTCCCATTTCACAACCCTGGGGACTTTCAGGGAGCCGGGGTTTCTGTGACGGAGACCTGGATAAGCGGGACGGGCATAGGAGGGCGGAGCGGGCGCCGCTGCGCTGACGGCCTCGGCCGAGAGGGGGCGCGCGCGCGCATTTCCTCCGCCGCGCTCCGCCTCGGCCGGAGGAATCCGCATCGGTGAGCGGCGCCTCCCGGGCGTCGGCCGCGGCGTCTCCTCAACCGTGCCCGGCTGTGGCGAGGCGGCTCCGGCCGAGCCCGCGGCTCCCGCAACCCCAATGTACAAGAATGTATGACCACGTAAACACATTGCTAGGGACTTAAAAGGATCCTGCGCAAGAGGGGCCTGAATGTTCCACCTTCATTAGCTCAACAGTAAGCCCACTTCTGACCCTAGAAGTCATTTAGTTTAGGCCCCATATCAATCACACATCCCTGGTGGGTTAACCAGTCTCTCTATATATACCCCCTGTGACTGAATTTATTATCTCCCAAGGCAATCCATTCCAGTTTTAGGCATCTTAAGTTATTATAGAATTGTTCCTTATGCCAAACTAAAACTTACCGCTTAATAACTATTATCTGGTGGTCCCAAGTCTCCCCTTTGAATGCTAAACCTAACCATTTTTCCGCAAGACAGTCATCTAAACATGTAAAGACAGTGGTCATGTCATCCACTGTCTTAATTTGGGTTCCCTAAAGAGCAGATCATGTGTCAAGGATTTGTTCAAATTCAAGCAGTTTATTTGAGAGATAGTTCCAGAAAACACCAGTAAGGAGTAGGGAACTACCGGTGCCCTGGGCCCGGAGCCCTCACCTGGCCTAGGTGCGCCGCCTGAGCCGTCTTTCTCCTCCTTTGATTCATTGTTAGCAAACTGAGGGGTTTATTGTCACCCCTGGCTCAATGTTCCGCCTGGCCTGAAATGGTTTAACAGCATGCTTTTCCTTGTGAGGTTGGGTATGAACAGAAACCAGGGACAACTGATGCGCAGAGCCGATGTGTGGGGGCGGCGAGGGGTTGGCCTGCCTTTCTGTGCCTCCATTTCCAGGAGAGATGATTAAAAAACCATTTCCAAGCCGAGATCTACGAGTGACAGCTTAACCTCTTCACCCCCTAGGCAAAATGCACGGCAAATCGCTTTCCAAGACTGGTTTTCATACCCTTTCCGTTAATCGTTTTTTAAAAATATTGCTTTTTAGCATGCTGTGCAATTTCTGGAGCCCTAATTGGTTTTTCAGTGCATAGATCAATTAAAAGCTCACTTAACTCAGTGGTTGAGTTTTAAATAAATTGTTTTGCCAGGTTAGCAAGATAAATATCAGGTGGATTTTTCTTTTTTTTTTTTCTATTAGGAATTCTACTAATGATTGGTTTGGACTACTGAATTTTGTATTCTTGGTATGGAACTCTGTTGGCGAGATTCTTTGTTTGGAGATAAAGATAAGTTAACCTTATGTGGGGTACTTTTTACAAAATGTCAGTTTGTAAATGTTTATTTGAAGGATTGGGATTAAAGTTAGTTTTTTAAAAAAACTAGTTAGGTAAGTTGCATAATTGGCTGTTTGAAAAGATTTTCATCTTTTTATAGGAAAATACTCAGCCACTGATAATTTAATACCAGAATTTTGCCACTGATTTAAATGACTTCACAAGGTGTATCCTTTTGGCTTGGCTTTCCTTATTTTCGTTTATTGTTTTCTCTGCAAAGTTCTTGCTCTGAGGCAGATTGTGTGTTTTGATTGGGCTGCTAAACCATATGTAACAGGTGGTTTACCTGAAGGCACATATCTGGAAGAAATATTTGACCTTCTAAGAAAAGACAAATTTCTGGGACTTAAGACATTGTCAAAAGAGATATCATCAAGAAAAAGGTTTCAGAAATGCTGACATTCATTTACTGCTCCAGTCAAACCTCTTTCCTCTTCCTACAAATTGGGCTGGGGTAATTTTTCAGGTTATGGACTGAGTTATACTGGAAACAAAAGACAGATTCCTTAAATTTTTTTTTTCTCCCTCTTTTCCTCACTAGGGAGAACTGGAGAAGTTAAATCAATCCACGGATGATATCAACAGACGGGAGACTGAACTTGAGGTACAGAGAGCTGGGTCCTTGTGCTTGGAGGGTTAGTCACACTGACACCAGGCTGGATAATTTTGTTGTAATAGCTGGAGGTTCATTGTTGGAGTCCTCTCCTTGGGAGTTGAGTAACAGCTCGCCGTCTGACATTATAAAATATACCACTGAGCCCAGCCTGTGGGAGGAGCACATGTGGATTCAATTTCACATGTTTTTCTTTATGGAAGCTCTGTGGGGCCAAAACCGAGGGCTCCGTGGAGCATTACACAGTGCTTAAGTCCCGCATTTTAATATGTCTGTGGAAAGCTGAAAGGACCGAGGGGAAAATTAGCTGAACTCTTGGAGGGAGAATAATGAATGAGCTCACGAGGTCTTTTCACTATTTTAGGGTGGTTCCTACCATTTGTTCTTGGAACTGTTGTGTGTTTCCTCAGATTTAAACCCTTTTTTTTGACTTTCCTGTCCTAACAACTCACTCCCTGCTTCCACATCCCTGCTCATTTCTTTATTGTCTACTTTTGTGTAGAATATAATTGTCTTAATGGTAACGAAAAGCTGTTTAGACTGGGAAGGGCTTTCCTGCTGGGTGAAGTCTGGGAGACTAGAGCTTGATTTGAATTTCATGAGCATTTTCCAACCTGAGAGTAAACAAGTTAGCATTTTCACAGCTACCGATTAGTCCCCAACCCTTTTCAGTAGTGGTTGGTTTTACGTTCCATCAGCAAATTTGGACAACCCCTGTGTATGTCTGGGAGTCTGTGAATGACTGTCAGCTGAAGGATGCAGGGAGCCTTTGGGAGAATGTTTCTGTAGTAGGAGAAGTAGCGAGAGAGTCAATGGAAAGGGCTGGGAGCATCTGGTCCCTAAGAATGAGGGTGTGGGAGGTAGGAATATAATCTACCAGGAATTTGCTGGCAGCCTTGATTTCTGACTGCTTGTGTAGGCCCTTGGAGGTACCAAATCTGGATGTGCCAATGTAGATTTAAAAACCTGTTGCTCTGGGCTATGTGAAGGGTTATTACTAACCCCCCTCTTCTGATCATTGGTGTCCGTGAACACCAGCTGCCCTTTTCCCCAAGTAAAGTAAAATCTGCATGTTTATTTCCATCTTTTTCATTTATGATGAATTGAATCTCTTTGTGATATAGGGCAGTTGAAACTTCTCAGAACCTCTGATTTATAATGAATTAGGCAATACAAACCCTACCATTCCTAAAGGGCTTTAGGTTTACAAAGTGTTTTTTTTTTTTTTTTCCTTTTTGTCTTTTTTCATGACTGGCAACGGATCGCAACCCTCAGTGTCGCGCCCGTACCGGACCGGGACCGGCAACGGGATCGCAACCCTCGGTGTTGCACCCGTACCTCGCTCAGCCAGTGAGCGGCCAGTCTGTATGTGGGATCCGAACCCTCGGCGGGAGCGCCGCCACGCTCCCAAGCGGCGCACTGTAGCAGTGCGCCACCGGGCCGGCCCTACAAAGTGTTTTTTTACATGCTTTATCTCATTCCATCCTGTCACAACACAGAGCCGCGCTGTCCAACATAGTAGGCACACACAGCATGTGGCTATTTAATTTAAATTAAAATTAAATTAGATTAAAGATTCAGTTTCTCAGTTACGGTAGCACATTTCAAGAACTTTCTAGCCACTGTATTGGACAGAGCAGAGGATACTTCTGTCATCGCAGAAAGTTCTACCAGCCTGGAGAGGTAGGGAAGGGAGGGTCACCTCCCCTGCAGGTGAGGATGTGGAGGCTTAGTGGCCCATGGTTCATTAATGTGGCAGAGCCAGGTCTTCCATCCTAGACCCAGGCATTTTCCAGATCCCCTCCAGCTCTTATATTCCATCATCCCAAATACGAGCAGACAAGTTGGAAATAGTTGTTTCTTTCTTTCTTTTTTTTTTAAGCAAAGGATTGATTTATTGTATTTGCTGGCCTACTGTGTGCTGGCCATTGTTCTGGGCCCCACATCTCAGCCCTCATGGTGCTTACCTTCTGAGGGTGAAATTGTTTCATCTGTTAAACTCTTTTAGCCCTGATTTCTGAATCCCATTTCTGAGTACACTTAGGTATTTGTGTGTCACAGGAAGCCACCAGACAGGTGTTTCCTGTCTTGCTCCGGAGAGCATTAGGAGCTGTGTGTGAGGCGAGCAGGAGGGTGGCAGGGCTGGGCTGCTGGTCTTTTCATGTATTATTATAACTAAGACTGACTCACAGAAATATAATACAAGCTACACGAGTAATTAAAAATTCCCTAGTAGGCACATTCAAAGGTAAAAGAAACAGCTGAAATTAATTTTGGTATATTTTGTTTAACCCAGAATATCCAAGATAGTATAATTTCAATGTGGAGTCAATATAAAAAAAATCATTAGAGATATTTTACATGTATTTTTATACTAAGTCTTCAAGATCTTGTGTGGATTTCAACTGGGACTGGCCACATTTTGAATGCTCAGTAGCCACATGCAGTTTAATAGGTGTTTTCTGTTAAACTCACAAAGGAGCTGTGTGGGATTTCTCCCTCAGTGCGGGCTCTGTGGACACTTGTCATGCTGCTGGAGTCTGCAGGAGAGGGCTGTGTGTGTCTCTGTCTGTCTCTGGTGGGCTGTGTTCCTTCAGTCAACCACTGGGCACCAACTGGGTGTCAGACACTCTGTTGGCCACGGCAGGTAAGTGAGTGAACGAGACAAAGGCCTGCCCTTGAAGAGTTGACATTTTAGTTGGGCTGAGGAGTGGCGAGGTGGACAGTAATTACGGATTGTAATAACTACAGTTAGCAATGTGACAGAGACACTGGGAGGGGCGTTGGTGGAGGCCACCTGAGCAGAGGCTGCAGCAGGAGGGTGTCCATGTGCAAAGAGCGGCAGAAGGAGTGAGCGGCTGGGACTGGCTGAGGGGAGTGTGCCAGAGCATGGGGGCAGGAAAACGGGCTGTTTTAACAGACAGTCAACTATCGTTATTTGTGGTAGTTGTATTCTGTAAAGTAAATGCTGAATTAGCGAATATTGAACCATTGTTTCTAGGGGGAATACAGGGTCAGGTTCCTGCAAGCCTTTGGTTACATTTTCATCAACTGATCAATGCACAACCATTTTTATTATGTGTGTTTCTCTTTAAAGGCCCCTATGTAATATAATTATTCGTTAACATTGAACTCATGGTCACTTCTCTAACATTTTTTCCATAAGCCACATCACAGCCTTCTTGCTCTCAGGAACACTAGACAGCACTTTAGCATGATCCTTGTGGGCCATTTTAAACAGCAAAATCACCCAAAACACAAAAATGTGAAAAACGTGGCTCTAAGTAGACCATGAAAAGGACACTTGTTTACAGGATGAGCACTGGAACAAGGAGACAGAGTGGTGCTTTGCTCGACCTCAGCTGGGAACGTGCATGTCGAGCCACTCAAAGTTTTCATCGCTCTGTGCATGTCCGTGAATGAACCTGAAAGCACCGCCGGTATTGATTTTGGGTTACATGTGAGTTTTAGTGAGTAGATGAATTCACAGTTATGGAATTGGCAAATAATGGGGATTATTGCATCTGTCTTCTGGGCCCCCACAGGAGGGTATTTTGCTGTCCTCATTTCCTTTCCCTTTGCTTTTTGATGATGATCTGGGGTGTTCAGCACCTCTCCTGATTTTGTCTGAATGTGATTTAAAACAAATTGGTGCCCAAGTTTGTGGCTGCTGCTGCTGTGCTCACAGATCGCAGTGCAGTTGTCCATGGCGGCCACAGGCTAAGATGTTGCTCCTGGAATTCACCTTTAGTATCCCATTCCTTGTCTCAGCTGTTTAAATCAAAAATTACACCTACACCTTGGATATCAGCCATCTGCCATGTTTTCAGTTGGGTATCTGCCTCTTGCTGCAACCTGGCTTTGCCTCTGAGCTTATTTGAACAGTGCTAGGTCCCCTTTGCACTCTGATTTATATCAGAGAGTGCTTGGCTTTCCAAGCTGCTGAAGGAAGGAACCTTTTAACCAGAGAGACCTTGGATGTAAGCCTGTTTCAAATTAAGAAAATAAATGTATTTTCCCACAATCCCATGATTAGTCAGCTTTTTTTTTTTTTTTTTTTTTTTTGCTGGTACAGGGATAGAACTCCTGACTTTGCTGTTATCAGCACCATGCTATAACCAACTGAGCTAACTGGCCAGCTCTTAATTATTAATTCACTGAGTATTTATTGAGCACCTGCTATGTGCCGGGGACAGCTTTAGGTGATGAGGAGACCAGCGAAGAGAATAGACAGGAGTCACTGCCTTCCTAAGGCTTCCATTACAGAGGGGGAGGAAATGCAACAAACAATTAAAATACACAGTAGGTTACATAGTGATACATGCTAAGGAGAAGTGCAGAAAGGAAGGGGACGGGGTAGTGTGGGTATTTGGGGGCAAGGGGAGGAAGGGGATGCAGTGTTAAGTACCGTGGGCAGGAAAGTGATGTGTGGAGAATGCAAGCCTCCCTTGGGCCAGGTGGGGGAAGAACATTCCAGCCAGAGGGAAGGGCCAGTGCCAAGGTGGGAACGTGGCCTGGCCTGGCTGAGGCCCAGCAAGGGGGCTGTGTGCCGGGTGTGGGTGATGAATGGATAGAGGAAAACGAGCGAGTCAGAGATAAACGGGTCATTCAGGTGTGTAACAGCCCTGCCAGGCGAGGTAATAAAAGTCAGTATGCTGATGTAATTCCATAGTGCATATCATAGAGCTATCCTTTTTCAAATGTTTGTTAAAACAGATGCTGCACAGAGAATTTCTAAATATAGTTAGAATCAAAATTTGCACTATTCCATGCTTATGTATATATATTAAAATATATATATTTAACCTCGACCTGCAGTGTTTCCTCATGTGTTTCCTTGGAGCCGGTTTGCTCCGAGGGCCGGCTATTCTAGGACAATGAAATTGTCAAAGAGGGAAGGAGGAAGGACACAGCACGGCCCGGTTACCATGTGCAGCTCTTCTGGCTCCCAGAATCAAAAGCTGACGTTTGCCCCATGTGCAGCTCTTCTG